CTATTATTTTTCTTTACAATATTTCATGATGTACAAGCATATCAGAGGCTGGTAAAATAGCAAAACTGTGTGTGATGATAGAGATCACTGATGAACTGTTTCTAAAGAATCAACTTCAGTGTAGGGAAATAATGTTCAATTCCTACCTACAGCTTTAATTAAAAGGATTCTTTATAAGGGACATTTGGATGTAGGTCAGTGATAAATGCATTAGTAAAGGAGATCTGAAATTACATTACATGTGATGATTTTAAGGTTAAAATTTAATTGATACTTTTAGCTAAATAGTAATCTGAAGTTTAAAGCATATTTGTTCATGGATTTGGGCTATTTACTAAAGGCCTCTCCTACCCACACTGTCCAGGAAGTCAGGAGTATTCTGTGCACACTGAAGACAATCTGCCTTCCCTATTGGAGCTCATAATCCACCAAAGACGACACTGGCCCCTCCCACTCGAAGCAAGACAACTAGCTGTTTCTTATCAAATCTTATTTAAACCTGATAGGAACCTGAAAAAGACTGACCACCAAAGTTGGGCCTTGTCTTTTGGGGTCCTAACTAGTCAAGTAATTTTTAAAGCTTCTCTGATTTTAAAAGTTTTAGTTTTTCTTAGGTTTAACTATTGATACTTTCTTTGGATTACTTTTTGTTGTTTGCTTTCCTTTTGCATTTAAGAAACCCTCTCTACTCCCAGATCATAAGAGTTTTCTCTCTCTCTCTCTCTCTCTCTCTCTCTCTCTCTCTCTCTCTCTAAAAGACATTTTCTTCCAAGTGTTTTTAAAGTTTCCTTTTCATATTAAAAATTCTATACTTTTGGAACTGACTTCAAACATGGTATGAGGTAGGATTCTATTTCTTTTACCACACCATAGGTAAGTACTTGTCACACAGGGATCCATTTAATAGTACGTTCTTTCCCTGATGGGCATGATCCCATGCCTGTGAGGAATCAGTTCTGAACTTTACATCCATCTCTTTTAGTCTAGTTTTCTATCCCTAAGATTCTAACTTTCATTATATAAACTATATAGCATTTATCACATTATTTGTGATTATCAGGACACATCTTCTGTCCTGTTTATAAATTCTTAAGAAATCAGTAGCTATGACTCGTTTATCTTTTTGTAGAGTTATTTTAGTGTGTGTGTGTGTGTGTGTGTGTGTGTGTGTGTGTGTGTGTGTTTGCTTGCATATTGTTGAACTACATGCATGAGTGCATATGGGGGACCCCTGAAATTGACACTGGTGGTCTTTCTCAATCACTCTCCACTTTACTTATTGAGAAAAACAAAGCTCTCACTGAACCCAGAACTTACAAATTCTAGCTAGTCTTCCTGAGGATTTCTCATCCCTGACTCCTTAATAACTGTGATTACAAGTGACTGCTATACCTGCTTGGTTTTCATGGGGGTTCTGGGTATCTAACTATAGTTTTCATGCTTGCATGACAAGTGCTTTATCCAATGAGCCACCTCCCCAGCCCCATTCACTTTTTTATTTCTCACAGCATCTAAATTGGTATTTCTAGATCACTGGCTCCTCTGCTAAATACGGGATGAGCTTGGCAACAATGCTGACTGTAGAAGCAGAGACATAGATATACCCCACTCATGAGTTACTCCCTAAGCAGACTTGATGTGTGTATTATCACATCTTCTAACTTTCTGTACTCTTAATGCTATTGTAGCTGGGGCCTTGCAATTAGAGAGGGACTGCCCCACCTAGTGTTTCTTAATTGTAAGAATAGCAAACTCGTCACCAGAGAGAGTATGTTTTGTTTTGTTTTTTTCCTATGTGAATGAATCAAAGCTCATACAAGTCCATTTACTCTTGCCTTTCCCACTCCAGGGCCAGGTCCCAGTCAACTAGACAGCCTCATACTACTGAGGTTACTTAAAGAAGCCTGCTCACCCTGCCTTGCCTTGTTTTTCCTGTGAATAAGACAACAGAGATTGTTTCCCATGTTTGCTTCCTCTGCCTCTTGATTGAACCTGAAGATTCCCTGTGTGGCTCCTATGTCCAGAGACAGGTGAAATAAACCTTTCTCCTAATTATCATCATTTTATTTACATGTATTAATATATCTGATTAAATACATTCCAGGTATATTTTAGAACAATGCATAATAAAGTGAGCTATTGTTTTCAGTAACATGAAATGATTTAAACAGCAAGCTAATATGAAAGTAACCTATTAGCTGGCTTCTGACTTCATTCTAAGCAAATGATAATAGGCAGGATTATTCACTAAGAAACAGCTACGCTTTCTGTTTGCTTTCTACAGTGCTGATGATCAGTCCCAGGGCCTCCTCACACTTGCTAGGCAAGAACTACCACTGAGCCACATGCCCAAGCCCCATCAGATGGCTTGCTCTTTCTGTATCCTAAAAATCAGGTTAACAAGAGTTTCATTTTTTTCCATTTATGTAGAAATTGTTCTCTTAAGAACAGAAAGTTAAGTTCAGAACTGTGATAATCCTTAAGCCTCATCATATTACAGTTTGTCCTTTCCAAAGCGGACAGGATGAACTCTTGAACTGTGTGTACTGATTCTCCACGTTAGTATTTCAAAGAACAAAGTATCTGGAGGAGTTAATCGCAACATGGTGCATCATACAGAGTTACACAGCTCACTACACTAAGCAGTCAGATGAATACTCTGAAATGGGATCAAAACTAATCTTTCCCAAGAACAAACAAAAGAAGCACTCATCCAATTTTCTTTCCTTTCAATAAAAATAATTACATCTGGTTCATCTTTTAGAACATTCAAGTCAGATTCAGCACTAGGTCTATAGCACCATCATGATGAGATCTCTTATATATTGGACCTAAATAAGCTGTTTATTTCATAAATGCATTAACAATTCTCCAGTAGTTCAAAGAGCTTTACAAGTGCTATTTTGGCTGTAATTCAGTGGGGAGGGTAGAAACAGCACAGCATTTGGAAGCCAATTCCACCTCAGGCACTTACTAGTATTTTCTAGTGGGATGGCATGTTTTCTCTGGGTCTCACAAAACAGAAATGGAGAGAGTTAGTTTGCTTCCCATACAAAATTAGAATTCTTAAATCCTACATAAGTTCATAGTATTGACAGAATTTTATCAATACCATTTATGCTAACTGTATGACATTTTAATGTTATAGTACACAGGATTTCCAAAAATAGTAGATACTGTGGTTATATTGGTTTTATATCACAATGAAAATTAAAGTTTACTTGATTTTAAAAAATCATTTAAAATAAAACTTTAGCCTTTATTTTTACTTTTGAGTGATTTTTAGCATTTAAAATGGGCTTTTATTTCCTATGTGCTTCCTGGCTCAACTCCTATATGCTGGGATTACAGTATATGCCACCATACCCAGTGAGAACTATTAGATCATTTATTTATTGGTGTGTGTGGTGGGGGCACATAATATTTTGGAAATATGTTCTAACCAGCCAGGAGTTCTTAGAGCTCAGAACTTCTATTGTCTCTTAGATGTTGGCTGATTAGGAGCCTGGCCTGGGTGGAGAATGGCTCCTATTCTGTATAACAAAAGACTTGGGCAGGGCAGGACTACACCCACCTAGGAAGACTGCTGATGTGGAGTGCCTGAGGGCTTGAGTTCCTGCTGTCAAGGAGTGTCTCTAGGATTAAGGGAAATATTTGATATCAGCTCTTCTTTTTTTTTTTTTTAAAGATTTATTTATTATGTACACAGTGTTCTGCCTGCATGTATGTCTGCCGGCCAGAAGAGGGCACCAGATTTCACTACAGATGGTTGTGAGCCACCATGTGGTTGCTGGGAATTGAACTCAGGACCTTTGGAAGAGCAGGCAGCGCTCTTAACCACTGAGCCATCTCTCCCAGCCCTTGATATTAGCTCTTTATACATGATAATTGATGTCTTCTGCCATTACCCCCACTTTTAGATGGATGGTTACTTAAGATGATGCTTCAATAAACTGTAGCCTTCAGTATGACCTGATGTGTCTGTCTCGTCTTTAACACCGTTGGGAAGTTAGCCTATCCTGTGTCCACACTCCACTCATGGTCTGATGCAGGGCTGTTCGGCTGGTTCCAATTGCAGCCCCAAAGACATCAGTCCAGAACAAGTGGTCCCTACAATGTGGGGCTAATACAGACCAGACCATAACAGGATGGTCCATGTATACATGTGGGAGTACTTGTGCCTAGTGTATGCATGAAAAGTCAGAAGTTGGGCGTCTTCCTCTATCAATCTCTACTTTAGTCCTTTAAAACTAAGTCTTTCATTGAATTGAAAGCTTGCCTTTTCTACTAGACTGGCTGGCCAGTGAGTTCCCGGGATCTGTCTGTCTCTGCCCGCAATGCTGAAGTTAAAGGCTTGCCCAGCTACACTCAGATTTTGTTTTTGTTTTTCAATTAATAACTTCTTTATTCAGGAAAAGCAAGTAAAGATCATATTTATATGAACACTGACATTATTCCAGGATTTTTTTTTTTTTTAAATGGGGCAGGCATTACAGGCTGCTGGAAGCAGATAACAGGCTTGAGCAGAGCTTCTGGAACCTCACTGATATGGATACTCTTCTAGACATTAAATTGGACACCAGCAGGCCATTGTTGCTCATTTTATTATTATGACCCATTGTGTGTATCAAATATTTTATAATAATTAAAAATTAAATGATAAGACAGCTGATCCCTTTGTTCTACATGTGTGATACATGTAAGCTAAAATTGTATTATTTTCTGTCTCCAAAGGCCTTGGTATGGGTATCATTACTTCTTTGCATAGGACAGTGGTCATAAGCATGGTAGGCTTCCTCCCACATCTGCCTAATTTCAAAACTCATTCCATCCAAGACTATAAGAATTTATAAGCAATTGTGAGCAGGTGATTGGAACTGCAACTCCAGTGTGGTTGAAAGTGGCATCTCCATTGCACTGTGCTAAGGGGTTCAAGTGTCCAAGTCAGGGAATGCTGGGATCTCCTGTTTGCAGCAGTAATCCTTCTCACACATAATTACCTGTTAGGTTTGAAGCATCAGTAGGACTCAGTTGTAACCAATGGCGGGCATCAGAGTCAGGCACAGCATCTGTGGGAGTGCTGAGTTCTGGGTCCTCATCACAGGTCTGCCACTGGCTCATGGGTAGCTCTGTCTCGTTGCTGGAGCCCACAGCTGTGTCACTACCAGTACTTTCACCTGACACACAGAGAAACCAAAGTTTGAGACTGCAGCTAGATGAAGATAAGGTTAAAAATGAAGTAACAACACTTGTACAGTTTGACCAGATTTGCTCAGGGGATTGGGCAGAACCTGAAGAACTTGACTGGGGTTCAGAAATGTCCCCAATTGACACTTGCTTAACAAAAATAAATCTTCCAAGTACAGGGCATTAAAAGGCTTCATAATGAAGCCTTTATTCAGTTATCCCTTGTGCCCCAAAGTTACACCAAGTCCTAGTTCCCATTAAGATCCACCCATAACATGAACAGATAGAGAAACAGAGGAATATGGTGGTAACGCATTTCACAGCATTGCGATTTCACTCTGCTACTGCAAGTCCAACGTTTAGACATAAACCCTCATGCTGAGGAATGAAGTGTCCTACTACTACAGATTTGCAACACTGGAAATTTTCTCCTTTAAACACTAGAAGGTTTAAATTATCACAATGTAATTATGCAGAGATTTTAAGACTTGTGTAGTTATTTATTTGAGTACAAAACAAGCAGAACTGCTTGCCTAGACAGTTCTATCTACAAACAATGCTGATAGCCCCTCAGGTGAGCTGTCTCTACTGTTGTCCTCTATCTACTTGAAAAGAACTGAAAGTTGTCTTACTAAGCAGATGGTCCATCTTCTGGGTCTCTCAGCACACTCTCCACAGAGCTATAGGCAACAGAGAGGCAAGGCACTAGGTGGAAAGAGCTGCGTCACACACCATCAAGGGCCAGCCCTGGGAAGGTGTGTGTGGGGGGGAAAGGGGGTACAAGGGCTGCCACTCTGCCACACTGACAAGAAGGAGACCTGGCCTCTAAGCACAAGAGAACAGGGCACAGGGCCCAGACTTCACAGCATATGATAATGTCTGGTATTCCAGTGAGATTTTATTTTCACACACTTGACCATTGACTTCAATGTACCTCTGAAGCTTTGTGTTTCTTCCTTGTGGGTACTTTGTGGGAAGGTAGCTTTTTTCTTATGGATCTATCTGCTCCCCTAAGTTCCTCTGTTCCTCTCGCCTGCAAAAAGGCCCACAAGGTCAAGAGACAGGCCTCTTGGGTATAGATAACTGACTAAAACTGTTTTATGAACTGGATTAACTACATGATTTCTAAGTTCCTGTATGAAAAATATTCTCCACAACCACCGCTTTCCTACTGACAAGATAACCACTTCACTTAGAAAAGAAGAAACTACTTCTGCACTTGGCATGCACAGACCCCGATTCCTGGAACTTACTCTTCTGTCTCTCCCTGCATCTTCCTTGTGTCTGCTGTAAATCATCCTTCAGATCCAACTCAGCAGGACTGCTGCTCCTTCGAACCAAGATCTTCAGACAAAAAAGAAATGCTGCTTTCATTACCGGGAAGTTGAAAGTTTTACCAAACTCTTAAGTTACAAGACTATTTTTAAATAAAAGAAGCAATAATAGTAACAAAACAGTGAATGAAGTTTTCCTTTTGAAGGATGTGTTCACAAGCTAGTATAATTAAGTTATATGTTTCTGAAGATCTGAAACTCCAATTCATATTCTCTACTTCGTCAACTGACACAGCTGAATGGATATAATAAGAAGGGATGCCAAATCATGTCCAAGTGGTTTATTTTGAAGTTCTATTTGCTTCTCTAGTTAAGTGCACACATGGTCCCACAATTCCGCAGGAGGCCTGAGCACCCTGTGAATGTTTAGGCAGGAAAAGTACATACTCTACCCAGACTTCAAAAGGGCTACTCAGAATCTTTCTAGTTAATATACTACAAAATTTTCTAAGCACTTGTAAACACTGGACCTTATGTTAAACACAAAGGATTAAAAAAAAAAATCAGGAGGCAACCTGCATCTTCTAGCAACTTGTAATTAGCTTGGAGAGACAAAACATACACAAACTATACAAAATAAAACAATAATGTATATAAGTAAGATATGCAAATAAACTTTCTATGAAAGGTATGTAAAATAAAGTGTTACCTTAATCGTCTGACAGTTACAGGAGAGTAGTTCAAGAATGCAATAGATATGAAGAGGTAAAGGAGGCAGGAGGAAACCAAAGCAGGAAGCAAGGACTGGTAATCAGTGAGTTCTATGTGCAGGAAAGGGAGCTGATTGTAGCAGGCCATGCAGAACAGCCAGGAGGAGAAGGAAAGAGAGGGAAAATGCAGATTTTGTAAAAGAGGCAGTGGCCAGGGAGCCCTTAACATGAGGTTTAGAACTTTGGACCTAATACTGACAACATGAACAACTGAATATTATGGACAGTAGCTAAGTGTCCTTAAACCATAACCAGAAGGACAATCCCAGTACTTGTGCATTTGGTGGGTGTTGGTGAAGAGAGAACTGCTAATGAAACTGCCAGGGTAGCAAATGAGGAGGAGAAGGGGGGGGGTGGTAAGAGTGCTGCAGTGTGGGACTAGAGCTTTCCCCAAGTGTGTGTGAGCAAAAGAAGGTTAAGTCACAGAACAATGAAAATAACAGTGACTAATGAAGATGCAGAGAAAAGTGGAAAGAAAGAACACATCTTGAGAATTTCTGATGTCTTTGGGCTGAATAGTAAAACAAAACACAACAAAACAAAAAACCCTACAATGACAGGACAGAGAAGAAAACCAGGAATGAGATAAAGAGTCAAGCTTCAGGATGTAACACACACCCCAAAGCCCTGGAGCATTTAAAGCAATTAAATAAAATAGGAGAAAATGTATAATTATAGCTATCAGACTATGAAAAAGCAAGTCATGAATAAAAGTATTTACAAAACTCATGCTATATGAGCTGTATGGGCTTTAATAAACAGTGATTTATACCAAATGACACAAATAAAATTGGCTCATGATACTTCCTTAGCTACACAGTTCTTGCTTAATATGCTGAAGAGACAAGATACCCTCCAAATGTAGAACTCATCATACTTCACTTGCACACCGGGGCTCACAGGAAGCAAACCTTCAGAATCCACATGCTGTCCTCATATATGAAATCTAATGACCTATTGTAAGGGTAAAGCCAGTGCTATCGTTGCTAATGACAAAAAAGGACTAGGAGGCAGGATCACAGCATTACTTCCTGACTCCTTAAAGATGAAAATACAAATGCTGTCCTGAAGAGTCCTTATCAGATAAACACTCCGGGTTCCCACAGATTCAATTAGCCATGAAGGGTAACTCACATAGATCAGCAAACAACTCAGGAACAAACCATCACAAGACTGCCAGAAAAACTCCAGACAGACTTAGAACTCAGAGGATCGCAGCAAATCAGATAGAAAATATGGAATTATAATTTTTGAGCATTTTAAAGGCATAAAAGATAATAATAAAAATGACCAAACAACAAGAGATTATTAGAAGTTACAAAATCTGCTTAGAAGAATACATTTGAACTTAGAAGCAAAAATACACTTGTGAGGTAAAAAACAAACAAAACAAAATACCACCTCAACAGAACTAAGTGAGTCCAAACCCCTCCACGTACAAAACTGGATCCATAGGAGACTCTGCTTGCATTCTGGAGCTCACAGGAAGTACCTCTGAGGCTATGTCCTAATGTCAGATTGACTGAACTGATAAAAGACAAAGAATACTTTTATCGATGAAACAGCTCAGAATGCATCCATAGGGCCAAGGAGAATGGATAATATCAAAGGACTTAGGAGACATGGAGTGTAGGATAAGAAAGTCTAGTATATTTCTATCTAGAATTCTGGAACAAAAGAGAAGATTAAATTGAAATGTGACTATTTGAAGGAATTATTACAATTATTATTTCTCCAGAATAGCATCCACAGATACACAGACGTAGCATATACCAGAATGGACAAATGCATACACCATTTGAAGTCTGTACCTGGATGCTCTGTATTCAAACTTAAAGACAAGGAAAAAGACGAGCAAGAAACAACTAGACAGGATGGAGCGAAAACAACTCAACAGCACCAAGGGGCAGGGGGTGGGAGGGCTTACTAGAAAACTAACTTCTGTTAGGAGAGGAGAAGGAAGCAGAACTATGGTCATTAAGATGTTGTGGTCCTGTTCAGAGACGAAACACCTAAGGAACAGAATCAAGTCGACATCTCCAGAAAACAGCAATTATGACAGAGATATGGCCTTTCAGATCAATAAAAGAAACAGATCCAATAAATGAGACCTTGAGCAAACAGTTGGGGGAGGGGCTAGATCACCTCCTGCATAATCAAGAGACATTTCCAGGTGAATAAATGACTTGAAAGTGTGGAGCACAAGTGAAGCATTTTATAGAATAAAAATAAGGGAATACTTTATCCTTTTGCAGTTACAATGTTTTAATTCCACAAAATTCTACCATAATGGAGAAGATAAGAAAGGAGGATTTGTATTTACCAAAGACACCAGAATGAAAAGCAGTCACACACAGGGAAGATGTCTACTACAAACATAATCAAAATAAAATCAGTACCAGTCACTATTCAGACTATACAAAGGACTAATACAAATAAAAGGAAAAAAAAAAGTAAATGACAAAAGCTATCAACTGGCATTTCACAGATAAACTATAAACAACCAATCAACATGAAAACTTTAAACCTTATTAGTCGTCTAAAAAATTTGAATAAGATACCCCATTTCTGTGCAGCTGACCTGCAAAAATTTCAAAAGTCTGACAACACAAAGTGCTGGTGAGAACTCTTTATATTGCTGATGACAAAGGAGTTACAAGCATTTGAGAATGAGCATTATCTTTCAGAGAAGAACATTCTTTGATTGTATAATTTATTAATTCTATTGCTAGACAGTCACACAAAGAAACATTTGAACATGGAGATCTTGAGGAAAGTCTAAGGAAGTACAAGACTACATTTTTCAGAAAACTAAAATACTAGAAAAAATCTAAATGCCTATCAACAGAAGAATGGAAAAATAAGTGATATATTCATGGTGGAGTATCAGACAGCAGAGAAACTCAAATGAATTAACTACTACATAACACCATTTGGATACTCAACAAACATACAACTGAGTGAACAAAACAACAGTACCTACAGAATATTTTAGAAACTCTAAAAACTAAGTAATATATTGTTTGGAGCTACATATATGTGAATAATAGAATAACATAGCCAATACCATAACACTATAAAGGGAGGCAAAAGGATGGGATTTAAAACAAAACAAAACACGGGTGAAAGCAAAAGAACCAGAAGTGTTCTGGTGCTTGGCAGGAATGGGCAACCAGATCCACATGTGTCTTTCTTAAACACAAAGACACAGGGACTCAACTCTGCTATCTTCCAAAGACATGGGGGCAGGGAAGGATCCTTCTCTTCTATGTCTATGTTTTCTATAAATATACACTAGGTTTTAAAACACAATTAGAGGTTATCTGAAGGAATGAGTTATAGGCCATTTCTTCTTTATGTTTTATATTTGTTTTTTTAAATAAATGCCTTCCTTACAAAATAAAACAAAACCACACCAGATCTTTTGTGTCAAGTAGGGAATCTGAATTGAAGGTTTTACAGGCAAGTACACCTCCTCAAAGTGTACTGAACAACACGAGACCAGCCAGTAAATTCCACTTCATGTCAACTTCCCCAACCCCATTTTTGTATTTTACATAGAAAGCAAATACAGCCTTAAGTAATGTCAAGATTATTTGGACCTATAATCAATCTAAATGAATAAAAATTAAAACTATCATCAATAAATTCATTATCATGGTGTAATTTATGTCTGGTTATAACAACAGAGAGATGTTCTCTTGGAAATCTTACTGTTATTCCTTCATGTTCCCGCTTCACATGTCCTTTACTCTCTTGAACAGACTTGGATTCTGAAGAGCTCAAATTCTGTGAATTTTCTACCTTTTGACCTACAGATAGGGGTAAATGATACAATAAATGTTTTAGAAGGTAAAAAAAGAAGACAGACAAGTAGACAGGCAGACTGGCAGAGGCAGAACAAGTCAGATAAACGATTGTATCCAGATGTCATAGGATACATACATGAATTATGGGTCTGCAATGGCAGCATCTACAAGTCCATTCTACACAGACACCTGACCTATAGCCCACAGATAGCTTCAGCTGGAGCAAATGGAACACTGTTCACTGTGGCTCATAGGCTCACTTAGTGTAAGATGCTTACAGGGGCATACAACACATCACTCGGGGGAGGTGGGTTTGGGGACAGTATCTAACAACAAAGGTCTGCCTGGGTTGGCCTGGGAAGCAACAGGAAAGAAACAACAGGATGGCTCTGTATTGCCTGAATATACAGACCAGCACAAAAAAACAGAAAGTTTCAATGATTTAAAATGGGATACCACTACAGAGCCTACAAAGATGAAAAGAAAAGATCATAGGAGCATCTGAAGAATAATCTGGAGCCAATAAATTTGAAAGAAATTAACAAACCAGTTTCTAGAGAAAAATCAAAACCAAGCTACAAAAGTCAAAGTAGTATTATAGTCCTTTAATTTAAATTTTTTGCTTGGCAAATAATGCATGTTTATCTTATATAGCATGCTGTTTTGAAATTTGCATACATAAACCATCATAGTCAGCATATGTACTAACCACACACACTCACATGGGCAGAGTACTTAAAAATATCCTCTGGGCTGGGCGTAGCAGTGTGGGCCAGTAAGCCAGCTCCCAGAGACTAGGGAGTGGACTGCAAGTTCCAGGCCAACCTGGGCATGGAGACCCTGTCTTAAACAAGCAACGATCTCTTTGCTCTCCAGGAAGGAAGCACACTGCACTGTGCGCTAGATCACTGGAGCTTTTCTTCCCTCAAGTGAAGTTTGTCAAAAATTCAAGAGTATTTGAAAACTTTCTTACAGGAAAACCCCAAGCAACTGGTGGATTCTCCCAAATATTTAAGGGATTTTTTTCCTTCCTTTGTTTCTTCTGATAGTCCTAAGGATTAAACCCAGGGCCTCCTGTATGCTAGTCTACCACAAAGTATATGCCCCTATCCCTAATAAACAACACAAAAGCTTTAAAGAATAGAAAATGTTCAGATAATATATTTTCTCATCTTTATTTTTGTAATAACTTCTTATTTCAAGGGTGTTTCTAAGGAAAATTTTCCCTCCTCATTTGCTAACCCCAATATTAGAAGACACAGGATAACCTGTTGACCAACAAAGCAGGTTGTTTTCTGACTGATTGATGAACTAAAGCCAGTATTACTGACACTGTACACACTGAAGCATGCTTTTCCACTAAGATACACTACTCTCTGCAGCTTCAGTAACAACTGATTCCCTCCTCACCTTCCACACTGGTTGCTGCTGAAAACTAGACAAACCCAAAGTGTGCTGGGGAAGGTTCTTTTCAACCACAGTACTAAGTCTGCAGGCTGTGAATAAACATTCACACACAGCTGGTCAGCTTATATTCCCATTTCAGCACTCCAGCTCTTCCCACAGCCTGACCCTCACTGCTTCTCATGTTTCTACTGCCTTCTGAGTTATCTTCTTCACTTTGGGAACTCTCTGACCCTCCTACACCAGTCACTTGAGACTCCTCTCTAGTTCCCAGTCATGCCAAACTGTAGGAGTATAGATGTGTATGTATTAGATAAACATACTAAATAGCAAAAAAGGTTCACTTGCAGAAGTCACATTTTTACAGTCAAATTAAAAAGTAAATACCTGGGCTGGGGAGATGGCTCAATGGTAAAGTGCCTGCTGTGCAAGCATAAGGACCTGAGTTCAGATCCCCAGAGGCCATGTAAAAAGCTGGTTGAGGCAGCATGGGGCTGTAACCTGGGGCAGAGCAGAGGGAGACAAGAAGCTCCTTAGAGCTTATGGGTAAGCTTTCAGATCAGCAAAAAGATCTGTTTCAAAATAAATAAATAAATAAATAAAAATGGGTTGAGGGCCATCAAGGAAAGAATTCAGGTCAACCTCTGGCCTCCAGACATATGCACATATACACATTCATACTAACAACACATACTACAACATGCAACACCCCTTTCTTTGAAATAGGTATTTAGAATAAATGTAATAAGCAACACTGCCTGCAGCTTACCCCCATCTCAAGCCCAAGTCTATGGCTTTGTACTAATAACTCAGGACTTAGCCAGCCCCAGGGTAATTAATTAATCCTTGTACCTAGGAGCCAGAGGCAGGAGGAAATTTTCAAGTTCGAGGCCAGCTTAGTCAACAAACTGAGTTCCAGTCAAACAAACAAACAACTGAAGATTCCTCATACCTTGAGAAGAATCTGAGCAGAAAGGCTCAGTGATGTCAGAGGTGCTGCTGCTGCGGGGGACCTGCTGCTGTCCCACCACAAGATACTCAGAGTCAGCTGCAAGTGTGCTCTCCGCCTGCTGGAGTTCCTCCACTTCTGAAAGCATTAACACAAAACACACAGGACTGTAGCTGTAGACTTTTAAAAAACATCTCATACTTAACTGATTTAAAACATTAAGCTTCAGATTTTTCTTTTTTTAGAAAGCAGACTGCAGTAGATAATCTGCATGCATGCCATCAAGCTTCCTATGTTTATTAACACTAACATTCCACTCCACAATACATTTTTTCTTAAGTTCCAATTAGCCTTTTGTTTCCCAGATGAAGGAAAGAGGCCAGGGAAGAAAACCACAATAATGGTCAGTAACCCTGAATCCTTTGAAATTTCCTAGCAGGAAGGAAAGACTCAACCATGTAGGATATGCATTGACAGATACATAATATTTGAGGAGAGCACAGGTGGTATCCCCCAACATTAAAAAACTAAAGATGAAAGGAAACAAGAATTCTAACTGTACTTCCCCTTCTAATAGGTAATGCACAACTGCACAATAAAATGCTGAACTAGTCACTAAGCACAAAAATGATCCACATGGAATAAAATTGAAAAGCAAAGATGATTGAGCGCTCAAAACCAGATAATTTTGCTAATATTTACATCCTCTATTCCCCTAGAGAATGGACTCTCTCCTAGCTTATTTCTAAAGTGCGCAGTTCATTTTAATCTTTTAGGACCAGTCACAGCACCCCACCCCCTCCCTCTAGACATGTAGTCTCAGGATTACATCATCTTTTGCCTAGGTCATCAGAACAGCCTACTATGTAGTTACTGTCTCCTCCTTTTTGCAATTCCCTACATGGCTACCAGCGAGGCTCCTCTAAAATGAAGGTGTAACTGTGTCTGCCATCAGTCCCCCTGGCCTGTCTCAGCCCTACAACACAAGGTCGATCCCAATCATCATGCAAGAGCTACCACTCTCCTTGGTCTCAGCAATACTGATCCTCTTGGCTCCTGGGCTCTCTTCCTTCTGTTCTTCACTCCCCTCTGCTAATCTCCAGCCCTGTCCCCATGCTACTCCAAGCACATACAGCTAGAGATCTTGCTTTGCATTCTGCATGCAATGCCACTGGTAATTCCACACTAGACTCCAAACTCACTGATGTTGTCATAAAACTTCATATCTCCATATGCATGTCACCATATTTTCCAAAAATAAAAAATCTAATCAGTGAAAGTTATACTACTTTTAAAAAGACAGTTCTCAAAACTCAGCCTATAACATCTAAACTAGCTATGTCACTGGCTCCTCACCTGGAATGGAGATTCACTGCCAATGAAGTCCTCCCATCTGCACATAAACCCAGTAAAAGCTCACTCCAGCTAAGGAGATGTGTGTACCCAGAATGACTACGAGTTTAATACATGGGACTTCCACAGAGGGTTGCTGTTTTGCTTTTCTCTACCTAAATGAAAATTACATTTCCTACTATACTAGCACAATTACAAGGCTCAAAACTATGAGATTTGGGTGAGTCTTAACTATGAATCGAAGTTCCACTGTCTTAGACCACAGTTTAAAGATGGATGCTAATAGGAACCTGAGCACAGACAGAAGATTTTTTTCCTCTTTCCCAGGTCATCTCTGCCTAGTGCTTCTCTGGAGCAGCAAGAACTGTTCATTTTACCATAGGGAACACACAAGGCACATGTGCACATTTTTACATGTGCACATTTTTAGTATACTTACATCCAAAAGTAAAGACTATGCTGTTTAGTAGCAAGCCCCTCGAGACTATGGGACAAGCCCTTCCTTCCAGTTACCTTCTTATTCTAATTTTACAAGATGGCGAAATGAAGATACTGTATTTGTCACTCCTGTATCAGTAGAGGGAGCCCAAGAGCTTCCTAACTATCTGAAAAATAACTGGCCAGTGCCCATTTTTGTGGACAGAGGGAAGAGGGTTTTTTTTTTTTTTTCCTCTGAAGCCTGGTGCCAAGAACTGGTGGATGCCAGTTTCTGGGTTCTGAGCAGAAGTAAATAAGAGCTGAGCCAACCCTGGCAATGTCTTTCTAAAGATAAAGAACATCGCCATCTGGCGGGATGCAACACAGCCACAGCACCATGGGTTCCAAATTAAAGTGTCCCCACTGGTCCTCAACACAGCAGACTCAGACGGAGGATGAGGAGCCTGCTACCACCAGCTGTCTGCCTTCCCAGCAGGCGGGCCTAATACATCTTTTAAGGCTTTGTTTTTGCAAAACTGTTAAGAGGGACTTCTCAGATGGACAAAATCCAAGCCTGTAGAAAGAAATGGAAATGACAGGGATGAAGAATGGGAAACTAGAGTAGAAGGAAGAAGACAACCTCATATCTTCTTGTTCTGTTAGGATCTACTCTTGGAATTGACTACCAATTGAGAAAATGCATAAAAAAGAATTTTCTATTGTTCTTATGTCATAATATAAATCCAAATTGCCGATTTGAAGGTGTACATTTCATGAACTTTTGTGTGTGCCACATTATCAGTATTCAACAAGAGCTCTATACAAATGGATAAGAGAATGACACCTGAACACCCTTTCCTTCCTAATGGTTCTTGGGCTCCCTCTGCTGGCATGTTGTTGTTGAAGGAAGCATATTGGGCTAAGGTTGCTCTCATTCTACTGTGTCCTGTTGAGTTGCTCTTTTGTAACTAATGAAAAGGATTTTAACACTGATATAAAATGTAAAGACACAGGATTGCCTGTCAGTCAGAAGAGGAACATCTGAGTTATATAACAAATGTGCAATAAATCTCAGATTTGATGCATCCTGCTTTGAATGCCACACAATTTCTTTTTGAATCACTTTGAAGAGTTGAATTCTGCCCCATATTCATTTATCCTCTGTGAAGTCCAATAACATCCGATTTAAAAGCATTAACTTCCCTGTCTCTTGAGGGTGTAGTTACTCAACACTATTACTAACCCAATGATTATGAAAGCTCCATTTAAAACATCAGCAAAATGATCATAAGGATTCATTTCTCTTACCCCCACAAAGAGTCAGCATGACTGAACTAAATGTGTAAGCTCTTTAGTTAACTTCTATTTTCTCCAGATGTCTGTCTACTTTTTACTCACTCTTTAATTGCAGACTTCCTTATTCCATCTTATTAAATGTAGCAAGGCTCTGTCTCCAATAAGCAAAACACTATGTTCCATTTTTCCCCCATACAAGGCTGCACAAGCAAAATTAGAATGTCAAGCCCTAGTTTTAAAAATACAATCATGATGCCACCTTGACCTTCTAAAAGCTCAGGAGCTGTTATACACTTCACACCTTAGATGTTCACAAAGTCAAGCTTACAAGTAAGTTAGTCCTGGTCCTAACAAGAAACACTTCCATGGAGCATATGAACAAGACACAGAAGCAGCTAAGGAAGGCCTGCCCTTAAGCCCCATGAGGTAAGATAAGGGAAGACAGTCAATCTGCTAGTTATAATAACCATTACAATACTCCCAAAAGAAAAAGAAAAATCTACCCTTGCATAGTATGAAAGTGCTACACACTGATAATTGTCCCAACAAAGAAATCAGTCAACATTGTAAGACAGCTGAGAGGGATTGTTCTCATGAAAGAGACAGGGACTCCCCATCTGGCATGCCTACCTCCCAGGTAAATGTTTTTTCTTAGTGCAGCTACTCAGATTAACGGAAGCATGTGGATTTGACTTTCCCCAAATTCAAATACCGTTGCTTCTTGCACCTCCAAATGTGCTGCCACTGCTTCTATTATTACAATTTTGGTGGGTTGACAACTCACTCAGTTTAGAGACCAAAACAGGGACTACTACCATCAATAAAAACAAAATTAGCAACCACTGAAACAGTAAAACAAAAGGCAAAGCAAAAAACAAAACAAAACAAAACAAAACAAAATACCTCAACTTGTGGCCAGAAAGGAAAATTTAAGGAGCCTGCTTGACATTTAGCTGGTTTAGCAGGAAATACCCATCCACTCAGATGTAGATTAGAACCCAACCTCAATGCTGCAAATTGCCAACCAGGAAGAATACATATTCCTAAAGCTGGTAGACACTTCCCTTGGCCTAGTCTACTGAAAGGACAGTCACAAAGGACAACGGTATCATTCTAACTAGTAAAGGACAACTGGAGTCAGACTGAGAAGGCACTCCTTACTGTAGCTGTCAGATGAAATGGCAGCAGCAGTTTGTCCTCAGAGTCACCCTGCTACAAAACCAGGAGTGAAGATGGCATAGACAGGGAAATGTGGACGTAGTCCAGCCTGCTCCACTTTACAGTGCTACAGACTTTGCTGTATTTGCATGACTGGTATCTGAGGCTTGGCCATCTTCTGGTGTGGGCTGGTCTCAGCAAAGTATTTAGCAGCATCTGTCTTCTACCCACTAAATGCCAATAGCACCATCTTACTGTGACAACCAAAAATGTCTCCAGATGTTGCCAAATCATCCTTGGTTGACAGTTATGGCAGAAAATCACTCAACTTCTGCTGGAGCCATGTACACACACATAAGGAACAAGAATTTGAGTAAGTCAAAATATAGCCCTGAATAAGAACAAAACTTTGAAAAATGAAGCTACGAATAGGAAGGAACTTTTCTGAGAATATACTCCAGAAAAACTAGTGAGAAAACCTAGGCAAAACAGTATGGAAATAAAATAGACTGTGAAATAAAACTTTTCACATTAAAAGATTTCTTTTTGGTGTCAATAAGCCAAATATATAGCAAATTCTTTTAAAGATCTCATTAATTACTTCTAAGAAGTAACATTTTCTGGAAAATCTAATCTTGCATTTACTATTCAAACAGGAACTTAACTGGTGGTGCCCTTTCCAATGCCATTCTCACTGTTTTACCATTCTGTGTTCACTAAAGAGTTTTCTAAGCAACATTATCTCCCCCACTCTCAATTAACACTAACTCTTCCCTCATGGTATTTTACTTGCGCTTTGATTTTGCTTTGCCAAACTACAATAGCGCTACAGCGTTTGTGCTACAGAAATTGTAATCAGGTTATCTCCAACATTTTAAAAAGAACCTAATCTATGTGTCAGAACTCAAAATGTAAAAGGAATACAAAAAAAATTCCCTCTTAATTAAGAAGATCTAGTTTAACTTAAAATGACTACAAAGATCTTTTGGTAGATATAATGATTCACTACAGAAAGTAAATTCCTTTTGAGAAGTGCCTAAGGAAAATCCTGAGAAAACTAGCTTCGGGTACTAGGATATCTCCCTTTATAACTTGCATGGGGTAATTATACACAGTGATAGTACACAGTGTGGCATCTTGATGCATGGACAGTGTGGGCAACGTGATGTCAGACCAGGATAACTAGTCTATCTATCACTCTCACCACTGATTTGACAAGTTCATTCAAGAACCCTACCCTGGATATGTCAAGATATACAATGGATTATTATTAACTATATTTACCTTACTGTGCTAGGTACTATAATATCATGAGAAAAAACACATACACACACATGAACTAAATTCAGTTTCAACTCGCTGAAGTCTAAGGACAAAAATGTTTTGGAAATTAGCACTGTTTAGCTTTTTTCTTGTTGTGTTTTAACTAAAACCTCAATTATCATCATGAATCTGATAACCAGGAGGATTATAGAATTTTTGACTACCCAGTTGCTACTAAACATGAACTACACACACACACACACACAAAAAAAAAAAATCAATATTCTTTGAAATTTAATACAAGTGAACTGGGCAGCTTCCTGAGTGTGACTGGGGGAGTTGGGGCAGGAGAGAGAAGCCTGGGGACATGGATGGACACACAAGACAGCATTACAGTACCTGACAGCCTGTGAGAACAAGAAGAGTAAGAGAGACCAGGGAAGAGAGCGCTCACGGTATGGAGAAGGAGCGGGACGCTTTTAGTGGCAGGCAAAGGCTCAGAGAGGTGGACACAGTTGCTGATAGACTGGCTTCGCTTAGCTTCCAGGAGAGATAAAGTAACATTACATCAGAGCACAGAGAGACCTTTAACCACTTCTAAGTTCTTATGGTGCTGCAATTCCTTTAAACATTTAAAGGAAGCCATCTTAAGCTTCAAAAGAAGTCAGAAAATCACAGTACTTAATCACAGTCTCTAAATACAGCCAACTTTCAGCCAAGCACTGATGACTTGGAATGGTCACTCCACACAAAGAACTTGTTTCATTTGGGAATGCTTCATGCATTACCCTTCATTTTGCTGCTGTATATCAGAGTGTATCTTAATGATGTCTGGGTTGCTTGCTCAAGCACATCCCATTATTACATTATTAGTTCATTATTATCTCTTCCTATAGGATACACATACAAAGACCACAGTGAAAAAAAGAAAATCTGGTCTAAGACAAGAAATTTTCCATTAAGTAATAAATAATTCAGAAATTGAATCACTGAGAGCTGACTGTATTTAAAATCTACCCACTTAGTGAACTAAATGCCCCAGAAGTTTGTGAATATATGAAGCAGATATTTTATTAGATATCCATGAAAACTATCTTTTTATGTCATGCTTCACATTTAGTAAAGTCAATGTTTCTCAGTATCAACTTTTGATTTCTTCATACATTGTTGGTTAAATTAAACATTTAATAAAACAAACACAGAAAGAGAACATGCTTCAAGTTAATAAAATCAGTGCTACACTTAAAATCAAATGCAAAGGATTATTTGCCATGTTATTGTATGTACCTTTGCTAATTATACGTGCAACAAAACTATACACAATGGTGACACATTTGCAAAAACTGAAACAAACTTTTTACTTTATTGCCTCTTCCCCTATCCCTTGTTATCAGCATTTCCAGCAATGAGATGATTATATAACTCATGTGTGTAAGAGAACATGTAAAGGACAACAACCATGTAAATGTCAAAGAGTAAAATATTTGGTTGTTTATCTCAGTATATGGCCAACATTTTATTTGAGTACTGTTTAAAGAGCTTTCCTTTTATAAATCAGATGATATTGCATTTTTCCAAAATGAATCACCATGCATTTTGAAGACAGGGAAATACTGGCTGTCTTATATGGTAATTAAGACACACTTTGATCACTCTCAGAGTTTAGAAATCTGAATTTTTCACCATCATTGACACACAGGGCCAGAGTTCTCTTTCCATGCCAGGCCACTTCTGTTACACTCTGATTTCTCTGGTATCACCATCAGTGACAGCTTCTTTAGCTAACTGAAATCTGTGTGGTGAGTTATTATATGATTATCTTAACTGCTCTTAATGAGATTAAAGAAACAAAGCTACTTTTGAGTGGCTAGCCCATAATAATTACTGCAATTGCTACTAACTCCTCCGAAGAACAATGAGAACCGTGTCACTGAACTTCTGCACTCACGGAAACTCCTTCTACACACTCAAAACTACACGGAAAACATTCTGGGCTTAGTTAAAAAGTAGGAAAATAAAACTAAGTAAAATTACCCATGTATATTGTCAAACAGTCTTATTAAACAAGATATACAAAAATCTTTAATGACCATTAATAGATAACAATTGATCCACAAAATCTAGCATTTTAAAAGATATAAAAGACAATAGGAAATGCATATATATGCATGCATACATGTGTATATATAAAGCATAAAGATAATAATAGACTTGTGTAATTGGTAGTCTTCACTACCTTTCAAGAATAAAACAGTTAATTCTATAAAAGCCAACCTTACAGTTTTAAAGTACATATTCCACAAGTATCTTTACAAAGCCTTTGAAAAAGGTTTGTTCAATGTCACATGGCCCTTCAAATACTTGAGAGCATTTTTAAACATAGCCTGCCTTTCCTGAGTGTTTTCTAACGCATGCTGGTGCTTCTACTATATAGCTGGTTTAAAACACCTGGTAGAAAATAAGATTTGTTGTGTCACATGGAACAGGTATGTATTTGCTACTGATCAGCATGTATGAATAAAATGCAGTGTTTCTGGATTAGTGCTTATACTTGGAATTCGAGGGTGGCGAAGGCAGCATAAGTTTGCACAGCTTGGGAAGGATAGTGCCTTTGCCACACACTTGTGATCTTTTCCACTGAAAGGGAAGACAGTAGGGAAGACCATAGGAGTTGAACTGAGACAGGAAATCAGTGGGCATCCTCAGTGCTGAATGTTTTTTGAAACTGGGTTTCTTTTGGGGAGACAGAAATATAAATAAATAAATAAATTGAATAGAATAGGTGGTACAGACAAATAAAAAGAGAATTATAGTAAATGCTAAGGCATAAAGAATGTGGAAGTTATAGGCAGGGAACAATATCCTTAGTTGGAACCATCAACAGAATGCTAAACCATCTATATTAAGATTTTAACAAACATGAACAAAAAATGTTAAATCTAACAAATATTTGTTTTATGGCCTGAGGATCTTATTTATGCTTTTCTGAAGCTGTGGACTATCAACTCTAATTGCATGGTACTGCTGATAAGAGAAACTGTAAGAAACTGAGATAAGGCTGTTTCAATTCTAAATCAGAGCCCAAAGATGGGTGAGAACCTTATTGTCTTCATTCTAAAGACAAGCTTCCTTTTTAAAGATTTGTGTCTTGCCATAGTCAAATGTAACAAAGCTATCTGGTCATCTATGGGTTCTCAATCAAGTAATAGTGCTAATTCAAATAGGCTGTAAAAGCACCATCTATAGGCACAGGAAGCTCAATGTTTTTCAAGAAGTAAAAAATGAGAACGTCTCCATTCATTCCTAAAACCACGTGTCACCTCCTTTTCTTTGCTAGAACCAGTTATCACAAAACTCTAAAAGGAACACTGACTAGCAATGACATCACTGAGGCTAAAGGTGCCTTTATCATGTTCCTTTTCACAGTAGAGACTTTAGAAATAAATAATAAAACCTGTGACTTGAGAATTAACCAGAACAGAAAGTTTAAAAGATATTGACAGATTTCATTTAATAAATGGTCTAATATCTAAATTCTGAGTAGAACTTTAAAATATTCCTTTATTCCTATAAATTCGTTTAAATAGCAATTACATTTGTTAGATGATATTTAAACAAATATTTACCAGTTGCTTTTTGGCGAACAATATTTCTTGCCTTCTCAACTCCTGGTGCTCCAGATGTGGTAGCACTTCTGAATCTCATTGGCTCAGTCACATCTGGATGGCTACGCCAGCTGAGAGAAAAGGATCTACCAACAGAGGTCCCTTTTTGGGAATCTAGAACACAACCTGATAAAGAGTAAGATGAAAAACATAATTTAAAAGCTGAATTTGTTACTCATTTTACTGCCTAGGCTGTTCAGCAAATGGCAAACATACAATTGCATATTAACAGCAGTCAAGAAATGGCCTATGTACAACACTGCACCAGAAGATTCAACACTTCCTTATGTTGCAATTTAGGAAGATATGTCTATGACCTCAAAATACTTGCTACCAAAGGATTTTTAATTTCCAGCAGTTCAATGAAAATTGTATCATCACAGTATTTACTTCAACATGCAAGGTATACATTAACCAATCTTTCTCAGTGTAAGAACAATGTCCAAAGGTATTTTAAAAGCCATTACTTATAGGCCAAAAGCTTTAAAGTACCGATGTTAAACTGGTACTGGCTTCTGAAGACTCTAACCCAGTTATAAATCCTACACAAACCCATGAACTGTAATGTAGATGTGGTCAAATGTGTAAGTTGATGAAAATCTATAAATAATTTTAAAATCTTATTTTAGAAAAGTTTCAAAATGATGTAACAGTGTGATCTGAGATTTGACTTCTATTTTCTCATAGTGTTCTGGTCAATTATTTCAAAGACCCAAAAGAAATACAGAAGAAAAAAGAGTAAGACATTTTGGAGATTTTTTTTTTTTTTTTTTTTTTTGCTCAGGAATAATGTAGGCAATGGATACAACTTGTGGCCATGTTTTCACATCAAGTTTCCTTGGTGTTTATTTTTTGTTTTCAACAATTTAGTGCTTAGGCCTATATCTGTATAATAAATTTTAAATCAGCTTTTAGAATAAGGCAGAATAAATTAAGATGTTTGTCATGGTCATTATTTAAAGAATTTGTTGTATCTCTCTGGAAAACAGCACTTTTGAAGTTGTTTACTTCCCAATGATAATTTATCTCTTCGAAAGACTGTGTTTATATACCAGGTAGGAAGAAAGACCTTTAAGATACAATGTATGTATGCACACATGCGTGGGTACGTGTGTTTGTGTGTTTAAACACCTTCAGGGGGCAAGAAACACACTTATTTTGAAAGAGTAAGCCACATCTTCTATCTCAGCTCTTTCTTCCTCATCAGGATAAAACCCTCCTCTAGACTGAGAAACACTGTTTTAGGTAGCCAGCCTCCTGCAGAAGTATCTTGATATTCCCAGGCCCTGGTTCACACAGAAACATAGACATGCAAGAAAGAACCAGAAGAGAGTAAGGACCTCTAGACTAGTGTGTATTTTTTTTTTTTAAAGATTCCTGTTCAGCTTCAACTGTAGAGAAAAAAAAAAAAAGACCTGTTTTTAAAGCTATGCTTGAAAGTTACTTCACTGTATAGTCTAAATCTAAACTGAGATTAAGCCATTCTATTGGAATGCTATGAACATAAGCATTTTGCTTTGGCTTTTAGCTGCTTGGTTGTACTAACTGGGGCTTTGGCAAACCATTCTCAGGCTGCAATGAATACATCATAAGCCAACTCCTAGCCCATGTATATAGTTAACTCATCACTAGAATTGGTTCACATCTCCCTGTATCCATATCCTTTGTTCTCACTGACTCTGGACTTCACCACACTTTGGTGGTAAAACTAAAGAAGTGAAACCTGAAAAATTTACTTCTGTAATGTTATATTAACAACCATGTGCCAACCTGCTGGATGATGAAACATGTAGTCCAGTCACAATCACTGCTCTGGCTGACAGTCAGTCAGAGTCTACAAGCAGAGCAGTCTAAGTGGTCACAGCACAGAGTGAATCAAATGAAAATGAGAATTAGCACTGACCAGAGTGTGCAACCCAAGTTACCAGCTCACAAAATCATGGTCTAAATAAACAGTTACTATGTTAAGCTACTAAGTTTTGGGGTGATAATCTATAGGTTATTACTAAAACATAATCTGCTGTAGCTTGACAAAGCTTTGAAGGAAAGATGCTGTCTAGGTCTTGGAACCAAGAGGAGTTCCTTCTCACCCAAGGAAACATTATTTTTAACTTCTGTATCTTATGATTGTTTGATAAAACCCTGAGAACATCAAGGTCAAATCCAAAGTCATCTCTACCTATTTCCCCAGCAAGCCAATGAGCTCCATAGCATGTGTTCTGGCATTTAACCATACCTGCAGTTCCTTCCAACTATGTCCTATTTCCCTTTCCATTTAATAAGTACCATATGCATTTGAATGGCTGGAATAGACAAGTTAACTCAAGTACCACAGTCCTTAGGAACTGTAGTAAAGACAAGGAGACACCAACTGTCATCTCCAACAAAAACTCCCTTTGTTTTACAACTCAAAATTATTACTTTTACTTCCTTAGGTCTGAAAACAGCTTTACCTAGAAGTACAATAAAGCCAAAATAGCTCCCATCTCAAGCACTTGGAATTCCTCCATAATTTCTAAGGAGGCAGCAGCACAAATCTTAGCAGTGTAGCATCTGGGCTGGACTTGACTGGCTTTGATGTCAATTACTATAAAGTCTTTGTATTTTGTGTTTTCTGTCTGTGACACAGATCTATGTAAAAGAGCTATCATAAAGATGGAGTCCATGTTACTCCTGTTATCAGTACTTCTCTCTCATTTTTCTTCTTCCACGTTCTCTTTACATAGTCACCAGTTTCATTAAGGGAATAAATAGGAGACATAATCTAAGGGCTAGTATTTAAAAACACTGTGCAGCTGGTTCAGCTCATTATGAAACACAATGCATCAACAGTGTAGATGTACAAATAAACACTCCTTTCACCCCACACCACTGCTATCCTGGATGAGTAAAAATACCTTTGCCACGTTGTTTCTTCTCCTTTTGTTCACTTAATTTATCTAGAGGTAGGTTTGTCATCTCAACTCCATACACAGTTCTTGCAAGCACAGCTGTCAAAGAGTCCATGATGTTGGACCACTCGGTGATGAGTTCCTCCCATTCTGTGAGGGATGACAGCACACCTAGAAAGTCATCCCAAAGCTCCCGAGAAATGTACACACAGAGGTTTGCTCGGATCCAAGCCACGATAAGTGTCTGAAACCAACAAAATGCATGATTTTTAACAACAACAACAAAAAGTTAACATTGTTTTTATTGTTGTTCTTACTTTTGACCAATTGTAACCAGGATTTCAATTATGGTAAGATGAGTTAGTTGAGGAAATACTATTCAAAAGTGCATGGCTAGTGCTGCTGATATTGCTAAGAATATAAAACCCTCTATCCAGTGGCTACTCAGCTTCAGGCTATTGGCAAACATCTTTCTCTATGTGTGATCTTCTAAACCCAAGTGCTACATGACTTTGAGCATGGGCTTGTTGCAGAATTCAAAGACAAAGCATTAGATGAGACACCCTTTAACCTCAGCCCATGAGATCTGGGTAAACGATCACCAGGAATTTACCCAGCTTCACCTCCATGTGCACAAAAGGCATTCCTACTCCAATTCTGGGTTCCTTCTCAAAACCTTGTGCTTCTATTAAGCCAAACTATCCTTAACTACATGCTATAATTCTTCCTCATCTTAAAAATCAACACACTTGCCAGGTGGGGGTGGCACACCCTTTAATCCCAGCACTCAGGAAGCAGAGCCAGCCTGGTCTACCCCAAAGCTACACAGAGAAACCTTGTCTCAAAAAAAAAAAAAAAAAAAAATCAACACACTCTCCTTGAAGTAGATTTCCCCTCTGGTTACAGCCTTTTCCACACTTCTGTCAAAGTCAAACTTTTCTACTTCCTCCTTTCCCAGCCAATTGACTCTGGATTTTTCCTTCTGACAGCTCTCTACTTCCTGCCTGGGTTTATCCACTTCTATGGTTCCATTACCATCTTACTGCTGTATATTCTTTTGTCTTCATGTCCAGCATAGATCCCTTTGCTGGCTTCCGGGTTATCCACCTGCTTTACAGAGAACAACCCAAAGGCACTTGCAGCCCATCATCACAAAAAGAAGTCAATTTCTGTTTACTAATCTTTGATCTAATATTGGGTCAATTTTATTATTAGGTCAATATATTCTATTATATGAAGATTATTAATTTACTGCTTTCTGGTAATGGCCTTGAACTTTCGAAAATATGAATTTAAAATTTATAGACAGAAGCTGGCGTTTAGTCTTAATAAAAATACTCAATAAAATATTAGTGGTAATAAAACTGACTCGATATTAGATCAATAGATATAATCTTAGTGGAGTAAGAGGAGAGGGTAGAGACTGCAGAAGTCCCTAGGAATCACCTCCCATTATGCTGCAGTGTTGGCAGCAGGAACAAAATCAGATGGATGTCATGGTGCAGTAAGATGTCAAGACTGAAAATCACTCTACTAAGTATAAGAAATAAAGGGATGACGTGGTAGCACTTTCCTTTAATCTCAACAAAGGCAGGCAGATGTTTGTAAACTTAAGGCCACCTTGGTTTCTTGCAGTTTAGAGAATTTGTCAGAGCCAATGTCACAAGCATGTATACAGTCCTGTAAATCATCAACAAAATTCACAATAGCACTTGAACATGATGCAAAATTCTCAAAGCTAGCTGAGGGGGGAATGGGATGGAGGAACCTTTGGACATAAAAGCAGGAGAGCCTTTCAATCAATTTCCTTTTCCAAAAGGAAAAGGGAAAGTAATACTCCTAGCACTAGGTTGTGACATTAACTTGGTTTGGGTGCTGGAGAAAGCTAGCTGGCCTTTCTGGAGTTACATTTCTCATCAAAGTGTAACTCCTCAGCACTGCCACTCAGCGTTTAATTAGACACAGCTCAACACATGAACCTCAGGCACATACCTTGCTCAGTGACAGCAACTGATAATCAACCACTTCCTCTCTTCTACTCCCCACTCTAGCACACTAAACACTGCCAAGTACTGGATCCTATTATAGACAGCAGAAGCAAGGTTTCCTGATCAACTTCAGAACTTACAGCATATGGTCTAACTAGCATTGACAACAAGCTATAACATCACCGGAGGAATCACCATTATTTGCTAAAAATTTTTAAATGGGATAAATTCAACCATCATTAGAAGTTTTGTTAACCTAGATTATCTATGAAACAGAGGAAAAATAAACACTACAGGGAGAGTTAGAGAAAGATAAAAGAATAATAACAACTTAAAATTTCCTTATCCTCAGCTGGGTGGTAGTTGCACACACCTTTAATCCCAGCACTAGGGAGGCAGAGGCAGGTGGATCTCTGTGAGTTCATGGACAGCCTGGTCTTCAAAAAGAGTTCCAGGACAGTCTCCAAACCTACAGAGAAACCCTGTCTCGAAAAAAAAAAATCCTTAACCTCTACTAGTTCTTTATTATAAAAAATACAAATATCTGGCCATTTTCATCTATATGTCCAATGAATTAGTGTGTCTTCACTGTAATGTGTCACTGAGGGGACAGCCTGATAATCAGTTCAAACCACAACCATTTCCCTCCTCACGTCTCACCCAAGGACATGGGAAGTTAAGAGATGATCACAAATCGACTGTACTTCCCCTGTTGTCCTCTCTTGACTGCAGAGCAAGGAGAGACACAGAAGTTGAGGTAGTACTCAAGGCCACCAAGCCAGCAGTGCCAGAGCCAGAGTTACAACCAGGATCTGCCAAACTCCATGAAGCTCAGCCTTCCTCCACTCTTCCATGGCCAATTCTAAATCTAAGCATCCTTTTTTCAGTACTCATTTCCAAAATGCACAAATAATCATAAGTAATCAAGGGCCAAGAAATGGTACAAGAAAGATCTAACAAGAACACTTCATTAAGGGAACTCTCTCCTGCCCCACCCCAACCCCAACCCAAACAAGCAAACACAAACAACAACTCTAGAATAGATTCACTCTTCATCCTGCAACAAATTCACTTTCTCATTCCAACACACATAGCATATACAAGGGCAGACAACTGGTGAAAATCAGGCTTGACACTGGCTTTAGCTCATGTCTACTTCATAGCCAATCCCCAGGACTGGGAGCTCAGGTGCTGATAATGAGATGCTGTGCAAAGTGTCTGTATATCCATGCAGGCAGCATAGCAGTAGCACCAACAAACTGTTGGATTATTACAAACCAAAACAAAACCCATGTAGTCAGAGTATGACACAAGCATATAATCCTAGCACTTGGAAGACTAAAGCAATAGAATTGAGAGTCTGGGCCAACGTAGGCTCATAGTGAGGCCTGAACTTAAAAAAAAAAAAAAAAAAAAAAAAAAAAAGAAGAAGAAGAAGAAGAAGAAGAAGAAGAAGAAGAAGAAGAAGAAGAAGAAGAAGAAGAAGAAGAAGAAGAGGAGGAGGAGGAGGAGAAAAAGAACGAAAGAAAGAAAGAAAGAAAGAAAGAAAGAAAGAAAGAAAGAAAGAAAACTCAAGTAAAAATGAATGTGTACGTTCATCCCATATACCTATGAGACAGGCAAGGCGGTCAAAGGGAAAGGGAGAACATCGATGAGGCAAGTGAACACATGCCAATTCCTTCTGCAGCCTCTACACACACTACCTATACTCTACATGTGCTCTTGATACATATCATCCAAAAACCATGAACTGGAGAAGGGAATGTTTCCTTCCTCAACCATGGTTTCAGCTCACTGTGCTCACACCTATCAAATTATTCAAGGTCAGGCCTAATGTAGAATATCACATATTTCCACCATTTTTCATACTGTTCTCTTTTAGAAATGTTCATAAATTCTATGAACCCTATAAAAATCAGTGTAGCCTGAGGCTACTTCCCTAGGCAGTCCATTACCTGTCAGCCCATCCTTGCTCTTGACCTTGCAGGAAGTACTGGTAACTCTCTGGCTCTCAGCTCATATTGAGAGTCATCCAGCCCAGCCAGATCCTGAGGTTCCCCTCCCTCTGAATCAATACATCCTGACCTCTTTCCCTAGAATGTCACACTGGCAAGCCAACACTTAAGTAGCACCTGCTATAAACCTCACCCTCTACACACAGTGCCCGCTCCAGGTAGTTTCCTTTCACCCCTTCCTTCCATATCAAGAGCTCTTGGAAGCCTTGTCCACAGTTGCTACTTCTACTTCCTGATTCATCTACTCCAAGTAGATTTCAATTCTTTGGACATTCTCTGGATATTCTCAACCACCCATATACTAAAAGTAAAGGTCACCTGTTCCTGCTCACTTCACTTGGCATCTTGAACAATCTACTCTAGCTTTCCCCTCAGCAAACTGGGCCTCCTTCCTCAGCATTTCTGGCCATCTCTCTCTTTATCAAGCATGGAGATGCCTTCATCTCCCTATGCATATGTTCTCTCTCTCAGTCACTCCATTCAGTCTGAGGCTTTACACACAGTTGCTTGACACAATGATGTTCTCAAGTTTTCATCCCATTGCCGTATTTCTACTTATCCTGTAACTGTCACATCTATCTAGCCTTCTCCCCCACTAAGATGCTCAATTCCTATCACTTCTTCTTAATGCCTATCACTCACAAGCAAACCAAGAAGAAGGAGATGGCAGAAGGAAGCCCAAAAGAACCCAATGTTAACCATGAAAAACAGACCACAACATTTAGAACAAAGCTAAGAAGGAAAATTTCTAAAAATGTAAAGTTAATTTGACATAACATGTAAAAATCTCAGTAATTAAAGCTAATTTGCCAAGTCTGCTTCAATTTTGCATTTGCAGTATTTAATAAAAAAGACTTACCCTGAAGAGCAACCCTGCCAAGCTCTGGGCAAACAAGTCCTTTACATGCTTATCCTTTGGCTTCTGCATGACAGCTTCTGTTATCCTGAGAAGGATTTGCAACATCTGCTCCCTGGGCCACCCAAAATAAAAGCTCACATTAGTAATTACATCTCCAAAGTACTTTATAGGTATGAGATTGCAGTCAGCAACACTGATAATCGCATATTATCTGAAAGTACTAAAAGTCTAGGTGCCAGTTTGAAAATAAGATCATATTTCACCCATATAAAATATTTTATGCTACCACAGTTTTACAAACATGCTTTCCACATCCATGCCAACTGGCAGGATGACATCTTCCAGACATCTTCCCAGCCTGACTTTTCTCTTTGCAGGACAGAAGGTAAGATGGTTTTCTCCAGTTGAACCAGCACACCAGGGCACTCACTAAGGGTATAGCTGTGCCAGTCAGAACTTATACTGTACTCTGACATTCTCCATCATTTTGTTACTTAACCTATAAAGTCCCCTCATCTGCCTTTGTGATAGAAAACAAAATTAACTCTGGTCTTTACTAGAAGACATAGGCAGTCAATAACACTGCATGACTCTGGTTCCTGAAGGAAGACAGGAGGGGTTTGAAAAGGTCAGGACTGAATACTGATGGGCAGTCCATTTGTGCCTGGCAGATCCTGCCTACACCACAGTGCACACCTGGGATGGCTGCAATCACCATAGCTCAGTCACCAGTCTTACAGAAGGGGACTTTACATAATAGGCTTAAAGAATCAACACAGTACTGATAATTATGGCAATTGGTGTTTAAAACAGCAGAAGATCATTTTTGCTTTATATAGCCAAGTTGTGTTTCTCGTATGCATAGACTCTGTGAGGAAGGACAACATAATTATTTTCCATATAGACAGGAAGTCCAATCATTCTCTAAGGGAATCGTTCTGGTTCCTATAAGGTTTTGAGCCCTAACCATTTATTCACTTGCACTCCTTTCTTCTTGCTCTTCCTAGTCTCTAGTGAAGAAATTAAGAATAGGACAAAGCAATCTGGTCTAGGTCAGACAAACAGATCTGTAGGCTGTGGTCTCTTTTCTCCTGTGTCTGTGCATTGGACAGATGATGCAGAATCTCAGTAACCTTCTCGTGGTATTATGACCTCTGGGAATTTGCTATCTGCTCTCTTGGTATCTGGCTCCATTGGGCGTTAGTACCAGTTTTGCTCATTTGTTTGTTTGTTTATTATTAACATCCATTCTTCCAGCACTCTATTCCACATTTTTACTTGTTTTGCTTTTTCTTTCGATCCTGGAGGAGGAGGACAAATGCACCACCTAGATCTAGACACATGTGCGGAGCGCAGGACAGCAAGTCTGAAGAGAAGAGGAAACAGAAACGACAGAGCTGGAGCTGGCCCTGCCACTCAGTCAGGATACCCAAACCCCTGTCACAGTGGGGCATGCTATTTAGTGCACCAATGTGTATTCATAATAGATACTCAGGAGTGAATTACTAAATGGAAAGAAAAGAAACAGAGAGGTAGGGAGGGAAAGGGGAGTAAATAAAGGAGAGGAGGAGAAACTGGGGAGAGGAAAGAATCAAAAGAAAGCATCAGGCATTTGGAACTTAACTATGCACAGTCTGTCTGGGAAGCAGACCATGACCTTTCTATTTTCTACCAAGCCTAGTTACTACTTTTATTTACTTCTACACTTATCTTTTTATACATTTATCTGGGAATCTCTAAAGTACTAAAGGAGAAAAAAACAGTTGCTTTATTTTACTTCCTAAAATTTTCATCAGAATAAAATGATTATAAAAACTATAAGACTGTACAATGAGTACAGAAATAATAGCTTTCTAAGAAAAGAAACAGAAGAATACTATTCACATAGCTGTGGTATAAGGAGCACCGTTCAGTTGAAATCATTTCTCACTGGGTCCTTCTGACTGCCATGACACTGGACTGGGTTTACATCACACTCAGCATGGCTGTACTGTTCCCAAATTTAATAGCTACTTGACTTGATAAGATTGCTAAAGTACAGGAAAAGTGACCTTGTAATTTATACTAATTTATACTTTCAAATCTTCATTTTGATATTTGTGAACTTGCTATAAGACAGAATTCCTCTGGCCCTATCCTTTCCTCCTTTTCATGACCGGTGGCCTCTGATAGCCCACCCTTGCCTTATTTTTAGAGTTTTCCACTTACTGTGGACAGACACCTTGTACAACACCAATAGTACTGGCTCTAGAGCATCTATAAAACAGGTGTGGTCCTAGAAAAATTCCCAGTGCAGAAAGGATTCCACTGCCACAGGACCTCAGTAGCCCCAAAGCCCTAGAATCTGAGCTATAAGGGCACCTGTAGTGGTTTTACAGGTGACTAAGTGATATGAACACATCCAGGCAGACATGAGAGGCATTTCTAAGACAGGCTCCATGTGAAGACAACGGGAAGGGGGAAAGCATGGCTCAGAGCTTGCTGGTCTATCACTGAGAACACTGATGGCGATGTAGAGATAGCTACTATGGGAGACAGACATGGAAAACATCTATCACATTTTACCTTTAAGAACACAATTAACAGGAAAACAGAAAAAAAAAAGGGAAGGAAAAATCATTGACGACACACTTTTTCACTGTACTTTTCTGTCACTATGATAATATACTAGTTAAAAGAATTGTTTTCTCCAAACTGAATTTAAAATACCAAGTTGAAGGCATAAAACTCAAGTTAATAACACTTCGGGACAACAAACAAACTTCAGTTATGAGGAATCACATTATAAAGCACACACCACTTATCATAAAACTGTCTTAACACTTTAAAATGAGAAAATCCACTATTGAGGAGTTTAATTCTATCTCCTCTTCAAGAACATTTTAAAATATAATATGGAAATAAATGAATTATGCAAGTGCTGGGTAGTTCCCTTTGCCACAATTCACAGAAGCTGCCAAGGGGGCGGCTGCTTACCTTATTGCCAGTTTTGCAAAGACATCAGACAAATGGAAACCTTAGCACTTTAATTATACTGAAAAGAAAAGACAGCTGTTTGGGGATGTTGCTCTGAAGTAAACTTACCATGTCTTTTGATTCATTGTAAGTTCCATTATCATGCGCCGAAAAATAATCAGAACAGCTTTACAGGCATCTACCTGTTCTCTCAGGAGCATGGGAACTTCAGCACACGGTTCCAGCAAAAAGACATTCGCAGCATTTGTAAGAAAGACCTTAAAGCCAACAATTTTACATTAGAAAATACAATTAATCATATACATCTCAGTAAATCTCACCTACAGATAATATTATCTCCCTTTGACCAATGAATCCCTTTGGGTTATTTCCACAGACTCTTTCAATACGGCAACTGGCACCAATACATATTCCAGGTATTGTAGCTCATCCCTTAGAATTGCCTAGGTAGATGCCTACAAGGCCTTTCCCTGTTATTCCATATAAACACTGTTACTTTAGTCATGAGTTATAAAATATTTGAACTTGTTTTATCTTTCAACAGTAACAACAAAACAACAGCAACAATTAAAAAAAAAAGAAGAAGAAGAAGAAGAAGAAGAAGAAGAAGAAGAAGAAGAAGAAGAAGAAGAAGAAGAAGAAGAAGAAGAAGAAGAAGAAGAACCACCACAGTGTCAGAATGAGAAGGTCTGGGATAGACAGAGGTCAGAGAAGAGGCCTGTGGCTAGACAATGAAGTTATAATTGTTTTTCCAAAGTGAATTTAAGACATCAAGTTGGAGAAATAAGAATCAATTTATAATAAGAATAAATAAGAATCAATAAGAATCAGTACCCATGTGGCACTGATAGAAGTAACCAGTACAGTACATGAAACCTGCTTCCAATGGAATATTCCAAGTGTACCCATGAGGTGTAAGGACTGAGTGATGAGCAGTGGTGTGCCTGGAAACAGACAAGCCACATAGTTGATGTTGTGTCTTCTAGGATTATGACTTCTTATTCTTTTTTTTTCCGTGTGTGTGTGTGTGTGTGTGTGGGTGTGTGTGTGTGG